CCCTCCCTCCCTCCCTCCCTCTCCCTCAGCTTACCGTATCGCCGGGTAGCGTCTCCAGGAAGCCGGCAAGGACACCCAGCAGATCGCCGGCGAACGCCTCCCCGTCAAGCAGGCTCACCATGCAAGAGAGCATCCGCGACGACAGCTCCCGCCGCTCTTCCAGCAGCTCCTCCTCCTCCTCCTCCTCCCCCTTTTAGGAAACCTCAAAACGACACAGCTGCCCTCACACATTGCCTCTCCCTCCGTCTTCCGAGTAAAACTGCCATTGTCTACTCCGCCCAACTGTAAATACCCCGCCCACTGACCNCTCCTCCTCCTCCTCCTCCTCCTCCTGTTCGTCGTCCGTCGTGCTACCACCACCACTGTCGTCAACGCTATCGCTGTCCCAGCACTCCTCCTCCTCCTCCTCCTCCTCCTCCTCCTCCTCCTCCTCCGGCCCCCACTCGGGGCTGAGCTCGCCCTCATCCGAGAAGTACTCCCCCTCGTGCGAGCATCTAGAAGCAAACTCAGGCCCCTCAGCTTCGCCGTCGGTCGCGGTGTCCGAGTGTAACCTATCGCCGGCCATCTCGTCCGCGCCCAGCCTGTGCTCCCACGGCGCCAGCCGCACAGGGGACGCTGAGTCCGGAGCGGCATCGGCGGCAGCGGTGATGGAGGACGGCGACATCGGTTCTTGGTCTACTTCTTCTTCTTCTTCCTCATCGTCATCGCTGCCGCCGCCGCGGTGTTGTAGCGGAGAAGGGTCCGACGAGGATCGCTGGCTCCAGAAACCGTCACCTTCGTCGTCGTCATCGCTACCGCTGCTGCTGGTGCTGATGCTGCCTTCCGTGTCCTCGTCGCCGCGCCCGTCGTCACTGGAAGAAGAGGGGGCTGCTGTCCTAGCACCGCCGCGGCCGCCGGCGTTCAGCAGCACCATGACGTCGTCCGACATCTCCGAGAGGATCACCTCCGCTAGCGACACCGCCGGTGCCGGCCCCGTGTCTGCTTCGTTGCCGCGCTGCCCGGCCGGCCGCGGTACTCCGATTCCGCCGCAGCCGCTTCGGCGTCCTTCTTCTCCGCTTGTGGAGCCTCGAGAGGCGGGCTCTCCCGCCGCCGCCGCTACCGCCGCCGCCGCTTCCGCTGCTCCGGCCTTAGCCGCCGCTGCCACTGCCTCCTCCCGCTCCCACCGCGCCCGCTCCGACTCCCGCTTCCGCTTGGTCCGCTCCTCGTTGAGCTCCCGAACCGCGCTGGTGTGGTCTTTCCGTGCCGTCGTGAGCTGGTGGTCCTTGAAGGCAAGCTTGCTCTGCAGCGCCTTCGCTTGCCTATCTACCCGGTGCGAAGCTTCGACCTCGATCATCTAACGGGGGAATGGGGGCAATCATGTAAACGCATGCCGTAGTCGCTAGACCATTGACCTCGCATATGCCATGTCGGGTTTTCGCCGGCTACAACGGGTGTGCGTGTGTGTGACAACAAGCGTGGTAACAATTGAGATGTCTGCATACCCGTGCTGCCTTAATCCAAGGCGCCGCCGGGGCTCCCGTGATCGCATTAGGCGTTACAGGTGTACTTCATATCGGGGCATGAACAACACACATCACGTTGTTCTCGTCTATCACTACGAAGCGATTCTCAGGCGCCTTGATAACAATACGTGACGAATGCGTGCGTATGCACAACATAGTCCAACACCCGCGCCACCACTCGGTTCCCCGCACAATCATAATGGCACGTCTCTGGAGGCCTTTTCGCACACCTGCATCGCCGCCTCCAGGTCGAAGTTGTTCTCCTCCAGCTCCCGTACCCGCTCCAGCGCCTCCGCGTTCTTCGCCTGAGCTTCCGCCAGCCGCGCTCGGAGCGCCGCCACTCCGTCGGGCGCAGCAGCAGCAGCAGCGCTCCCGCCGCTAGCAGCAGCGGAAGAAGAAGTGATAGCGGCAGAGGGAGAAGCAGCTGGTAGTCTCACCGCTGACGGAGAAGGCTGTGATTGGTCGGCAGGAGGTGCGTTTGATCCGGAAGCACCCGCGACGTTTGTAGAAGCGGAAGTAGCTGTAGTCGAAAAAGGAGCGACTGTGTTGCTATTGTGGTTGGCTCCCTGTCGCATGCTAGGCTCTTGCTGCCTGGTCGACCTAGCCGCAGGCGCTGCCGCTGCCGTTCCATTGTTGTCTGGACGGCGCGGCGTCTGCGATGACCCTTGTCGCTGCTGCTGCTGCTGTTTCTGGTAGTTGTGCTGCTGCTGCATTGGCTGATGGTGTGATCCGCGCTGCTGCTGCTGGGGGAGTTGTTGGCTTGCCCTATGTTGCTGGTGTTGGTGCTGGTGACCGCCGTTGCCTGACTGCCTCTCCCGGCTGCGCCCTTGCCCTGGCGCCGCCTCACCTCGCGCCCGTACTGCGCTTGCTTGCCGTCCCGGTTGACTTCCCGACCCACCTCTGCCGCCGGCTGCAGGCCCGTTGCCAGTGCTAGCCCCACGCGTGTGTTGCCGCTGCGGCTGCTGCTGGTGCCTTCCCCCCGTCTGCGGGCCGCTAGTACCCTGCTGTGCTCGATTGTGCTGAGCGTTACTGCTGCCGGGAGCGTTGCTTGCGCCCTGTTGTACCGTGTGTTGTCGGTATCCGTTGCTGCTGTTATTGCTGCTACTGCTCCTATTCACGTGGTGGTCGGTATTTCCTCCTCCTCTTCCTCCTCCTCCTCCTCCTCCTGCTGCTGCCGCTGCAGAGTTCGTGGTTTGCATAGTTTGAATTCGGCCACCACCTGATCTTTGCTGCTGCTGCCCCCAAACGTCGCTTTGGCCAGACGCTCGGGTGGCAGGAAGTGCTTCTCGGGAAACGGCTTGAAACTGACGGTCAGCGGAAGAAAGCGCAAGGCTCGTGTTGAGTTCGTGGTTGTACGGTAGCCTCCAAGCGCTGGAATAAGATTGGTGCCCTTCTTCATACCGACTGACGCTATTCTCTACCTTCTGTCATGGGCTTCCTTGTCTTGATGGCCCACCAACCTCGGGCAGAAGCAGGCCCAGGCAGGAATGTGCTGGCCATGTAGATAGCTTCTGCGGCCCTTGCTCACTTGCAACGGTCCTTGTTCGACCGCTTTCAAGATTTACTTCCCTACATAGATTACAACAGATTCGTAGAGCTTCTACCACGATGTCGAGTGGCTTGCAGGGAAAGGCGGCCGAGTACAGCCACGTACCGTCTTCTCATCCCTCAAATAAAAGACCCTGTCTATTCCAAACCGTATCCTCGTATCCTCACCCCTCACGTCCAGACACCTACTACCAAAGGAGACCGGTTCTGCCGCCTACCTGGAGCTGCCCCGCTCGTGGACCGATGCGCACGCTTCCGTTTCCGTTGCCTCCCCCGGCTCCCCGACGTGCAGCATTGTGATCATGATTCTGAAAAGAGCATTCGCAAAGGTTTTTGCATGTGCGGCACACCATTTCAGCTTCGAGCTGGAACATTTGCACTGGACTTGGTTTGATTCATGGCGTGCAACCTTCGTTCGGCTGCTTAGTTTTGACGTGCAATTGTGCCAACCGTTGTTGGTTGCCGTTAAACCCGACGGCAGTGCCTGCGGCTTAACTCGTTCCACTTCGACTAGTCCACTACTCATAGCATAGATCACAACCCGTGTGAAGCCTTACGCTGTGCCTAGGATTGCTGGCAATAACGACTCCAGACCCCCCAGCGGCTGGAGCGGCTCTGGAAAGCGGTAGTGGCGAGGCCTTTCTCTTGGACGAGCTCTTGTTGTAGGCACCACCCCCGCCGCCGCGCTCGTTCATAAGCTCACTTTCCAGACAAACCCCTTCTGCTATGAGTTTTGAGATAGAGCGTCAAGTAGTCCCTCGGGCTTCCCGAGCTCTACAACTGATGGTAGACACACTGATACATAGATCTCGCTTGCTTTCCACAAGCAAGGGAATGGAGGAGCCTGTCCTGCCGGCTGCGAGGAAACAGCAGCTGACAGCTCGCGCGAGACGACGCCCACGGGGGAGGCGCCGTCCGCGAATTTGAAGTATGATACCGCGGTGCCCCTCAGAAAAGTATGATTCCACAACAATGCATTGTTGTAAGGTTGAAGAAGGAAGGCCCTTCACAGATCAATCACAGATCAACGCCGACAGGGGGGGGGACTATCGTTTGTGTCAAAGGAGGAAGTGTGGCCACCGAGATTCCTTTTCGTCGAAGTGCGGTGTTTGAGAAAGAAGTACAAATAATGCGGAGTTCCGAATTTCATGCCACGCTGTATCGACGGAACGGGACCAGGTTCCAGATTCCCACTGAAAGCAGATTCAGTGGCGGACGGTATATCAGCTTTCGATGATGGCACCCCGTGCGGTGATTGTTAATGCGCACCACACACGAGGCGGAAGTCCGTGTGCTGAGCGAGCGGTCTTACGACCAGCAAACGGAAATCAAGGCCCCGAGAGCAGTTTACGCAAAATCGTAAGTGGGCCTCGGCATGGCATTTAGTTGGGCATCAGACTGACGAAGAAATTCTCTGCGGTGTAAAGGCAACCGCATGTCGTCGGGACCATCTGACAAGCGCGAGAAAGCCAAACAGTTTCCAGAGTGCCGTTAATTAGCTGAAATATCATGGATCACGGGTTTGAGTCTGATCATGTTCGTTCATGTTCGATGCACGTTCATCTGCTTGCTTCGCCATCATCACCACTGGTGGAGGTGGCGGGTGCGGATCCTCCGAGTGCAGCGAAATGTTGGGTTTTGGACGCGATCGCACACCAATAAATTGACGGCTTCGATTTGGGGCACGCCCCCCACAAGCCAATACCCACAGCCCGTATCTGCGGCAGGTTCAAAGCCCAAACTAACACAATAATTTCACTTCAACTCCACCAAAACATGCACGATGCCGTCCCTCACGGACCATTCTCTTCTCCAACTAGCAGCAGCAACAACGCTTAGGAATGAAAGCACCAATCGTCGCGCGGCTACCGAGACAGAGGGAGGTGTTGGTGCTACGGCCGAAAACTCGCGCGGTGCTTCTGTATGAGTCCCTACCGTTGGTGGTTGCACCACTTCAATGCTTCAATGTACATCTGGGGTCTACACGTTGCATTCGTCCTCTCCCACCCACTACTGTACGCCTAAACGACCGTCGCCCCGCACGAACTTGACCGGACGGTGAAGCGGAACACCGAGGCCGATCAGAAATCAGCGGCACCAGTGTTGACCATAGGAAGACTGCGGGCCACACGATGCCTCTCTCAGTGTGTATCACGCAACGGCAGTTCCTTTCCCTCGCATCACCTTGACAACCACAGCAGTAAGTTGACACGAGCGGCTGGTCTTCTACGTTAAGAAAGTGCCCTGCACAGGGAGTATCACCATGACGACCGACGCTTTCCCTTGAAAAAACGAAAAAAAAAAAAGCTGCTGCAACCCGGGGTAGGGTGCAGGCAATCGGCAACGAAGACAATTCGTCATGATTGGTGCAAGAACTTGATTGTCCAGGAGGGCGGGCTATTTCATCCCGCAGAACTCATTCTACAGGCAAGACGCAACTCCACAACTCATGCTGCCAAACCAAGCAAAAAAAAAACGTCTGAGAAGTCCCTACAGTTCATCCTACCGACGTGTTGACTCGAGTTGTTGTATGTCGAAGCTAGCATTTTCCCTAACACCGGGGACGCGGTGATTGGGTCTGTACATCTTCTGGTTCTTATTCTGGTTCTTAGCCCTCCGCTATCTCTTGGTCGTCGATGAACTGCTCGTCATCTTTGTGCTCCTCCGCAGCCGCGTCGACCGCGTTAACCGCCTCGCACTCGTCGATCCAGTCTGTGTACACGTCTATCGGCTCCGTCAAGTCTGAATCAGGACCACGAGTGACAATGGAGGGGTGGGGGGAAAGGGGGTGTGGGAGCTCTCTGCTGTACTTACCATAGAGGACGAAGCACAGCAGTCGAGTAGGCTGCAGATGTCTGCCATCACTGACTGGCATCTGTGTGAAATGCATGGTGGCTCCCAAAGCTCTGCCCCTCCCAGGTCTGTTGTAAAAGCAACCGTAGGCTGATGCAGTCGCTTCGAAGCGATACATGTCGAAAGCAACACATCGGTAAGTGGTGCATGGCTGGGGCTAATTCAACTGGTGCAAGTGCGGTAGACACCGCTGCCACTCACAGTTTATTGTCATTTCGTAGTTTACGTCGCACATCCGGCAAAGCAGCCGCGCTGTCTTTTCCTTCTTGTTCCTGCTCATCCGCCACCATCGGATGATCGCCACCGCAGCGGTCGCCAGAGCACACGGGAGTAACAGACCAGGGACAAAAAAAACAATAAATCAATCATGGAATTGGCTGGAGTGCAATTCATGAGCAACAATTAGCACCACAATCACCCGAACGGTGCTCCGAGCGTAGCTATTAGGTATTCTCGCGTAGTGTTTGTGCTAGCAGTGATCGGTCAATGCTTCGGCCGCGGTGAAAACAATGTCATACCGCCTCTGCGCTCCCAGAGCGTCTTGTCTTGGCCCACCTAACATGTGGCATCGCACACGACCACCACAAGGTGGTATGGACAGCAGTAGTTGGTTTTGGAAAGTGTTCGCCAACACATGTTGTGAACACAGCTGTTCGGTGAGCACGTGCTCAGCTGGCTCGCTCGCTAATGCATGCATACGACGTGCGTTGTAACGTGAAGTACGCCAGGATAGCAGGGACTACTCCGTATGCAGTGTGGCACCCAACAAAGTGGGTGCGTTGTCTGTCGGTATTCGTCTAATCTGTTCTGGGCGCCAGTCTGAGATCATTCGGTATGTAACACCAGCCGGGGCCCCACACAAGTGATGGACAAGCAACTGTTGCTTCTTTCCCCGCCATTTGCTCCTGCCTGTGGCGCTTGCCTTCCATGATTTACGCGATAGAAGGTATCAGCTATTCAGCAAGCAGTTCCTTCGCCTCTTCCGGTGCATGACTCGCGACTAATTAGTGAAGCAGTAGCGCTCTGTACTCGCTACCCCAGATTCGATTTTCTAGGTTTGAACCCGCACCCTTGAGACTCAAAAAGCTCATGAAGCTACCAAACGAACCACCGGGGCAAGCGGCCACCACACGCAACCCGAACGGAATAAAACTGTCATTTAGTAAGAGCCTGCTGCAATCATGGCCGCCGCGGCTTGTGAACGAACAACATCGATCGGTGGGGTTCTTCGAAGCGCCGGAGGGCGCTGCCGCCTTGATCTGGCACATTTCGCCGCCCAGGCACCAGACGATATCCGCCCGGTATACACCACATCCACCACTGAAAAAAGGAGCTGGTGCCCCTCAATGGCCAGAGTGTGGTCATGCACTCAGGACTAGTCACGTAGTCACCTACTCGTACTGCTAGTATGCATTCGTCGCGGCGTGCCGTCTGCGGACTGCCTGCCTGAGACATGTACTAATATTATAATAGTATTTTTTTTTATGTGCCGTGGGGACATAACAGAGGATACCACACCCAACCACCTGGACCGGTTTTCAAAGCTCGATTACTCCACGACGAAGAAGATGCCGACATCAAATGATACGTGTTCGGAAAGGTTTCGACGAGACGGTTCCGACGCCGCTGTTTTCGGCACCGTCACTGCAGCTTGTCCTGCCGACTTGTTGGAGTTTTTTTTTTTTTGGGTCCAGGGTGTGATACGGTACATACGCCCCCAACGGTATGTAGTCTACTCACATGGTGCACTCCACCACCTTGTCGTGGTTGCAGAAGGGACACTTGAACACCTTGTCGAGTGTAGTGTTCTTCTTGACCACGATCTTCTTCGTGCTCTTTTTTCGCCGCCCCATGTTGTGAAGGGGCTACCGCTGCGTCGGCTGGTGCTGCTGTAGTCGTCTCCGGCCAACGTCAACTACGGTCAACAACAAAGAGAACAAACGAAGTGGGCAAACACACCGCACTTTGATGAGAGCCGAGACGTGGGCTGAAAACGAAAGCTAGCGAGGAAACGCCAGACAGGAGCCTCGAGCTTAGCTACGTCACTAGCTAAAGCAGGTCCTGCGTGTACTCACATGGAGAGGTTGCGCTGTTTGTGTTGTGGGTCCTGTTGTGTGAGATGATTAGACATTGGAGGGGGGACATAGACTGGAATATATTCATGTATTAAGTTGGGCCCTATGACGTTGTTGGTTTCACGGAGTCCCCCAGCTAGCCAAGAGGTGGTGACACGCACAACGCAACCCACAAGGAGAGGTGTGAGCGTCTGGCGTAGCAGTTCGTAAGAGTACACAGCTAGTGCGACCGAGTCGTTGATTCCGAATCCTTGGTTCTGGAAGTTGCGCGTGAGTATCGTCTTTGAGCGGAGAAGTCGAAACCTGCGGTAGCCGAGCGCCTCAGAGCTCTCAAACAGCGGTGGCCTTCCGGAGCGAGAGAGAGGCAGGCAGAGGAGAGCCAACTGAGAGGGAAGCATGGCGGAGAAGTTGCTGCAAAATGTGTCCCGGCTAGGTGGCGTGGTGGCGATAGCGGCGGCGACGTGAGTGTTGGTCGGAAGCAAGGTTGTGGTAGGTTGGTGTGTTACGGGGGGGGTTGGTTCTGCGTATGTACGAGGGAGACCCAGCAGCTCTGACGCTCTGACCTGTGTGGGCTTGACAGGCTTACAATATTGCAACTGAAATCGGCGATGGCAATGTACAGATAACTGCTAACCATTCGAAGAACGAAACGGATAGCTTGGTGTCAAGGCATCCGCGTTCGGTCTGTTCACATCCCACTAGGATACTCCCCCTGCTAAAATTGAATTGAAGTGGTTTTTACGTACACGAGTAAATGGCCTGTTCCTGGCCGCCCTCGGGGATCAATGCCAGTGGCCCCTCGGGAGAGTTCAGCGGTTTATCACCCGCTCCCTCCTGAGTCGTGAGTGGATGGGCCCAGCAGCAATGCATTGCTTTGCTACGACACGCCTTGATAGCCAAGGTATCGCGAAAGCACAAAATTACACGTGGTTGTGTAGGGCTCGAGAGGAGCTCAGATTCTTGCTTCATTCTGCTGTTTGATATCACAGCAGTACTTCATTCCCTAGCAGTAGCACTCCCGGGTCGTTATTGCAAGCAAACTCCCGCCTTGCCACTGTTTGGATGGCAGCGAGCCAAGTCACCCCCGTATCCGATAAGCCTGCAGTAGTGCTTGTCCGCCCCACCACACACGTTGCGCTGACCTGAAGAGCTGTCATAAACTGAACATAGCGTAGTGTTCGCGAGGAAAAGTACCCTTTATATCTTTAAGGAAATGTGCCATCAACAAACTACTACAAGCAGTAACACCAAGATAACGCCAGCCGAAGGGTACAAGATGGTAGTCTTTGCAATATAGGTGAGGGTGGGGGTTAGGGGGATGCAGTTGCTATGCACGCCACTCCTGAGATCTTGAACGCTGACGCTCCCACCCCCTCGCGACGGTTTTCTCGGAGATTTTGGACATCTCGGAGAATATTCATGCAGCGAGTACGCAAGTATGGTAGGCGATATCATCAGCGTTTACAGGCGGCAATGGTGATCTTTGCCGTCCTCCTCAGCGAAAATCATTCCATGCCACGGCTGCACTTTGAAAACCGCCAGCAACGGTTGACACGCACGTGCAAAGCTGCTGCTGCGGGGAATGTTGCTGTGCGTGTCGATTTTCGTAGGCAAACTGACCAATGACCAGACGCCAGTCTCCTACGCTTGGAGGCTGCGGTTGACGTCCAAACCCTTTCATGAATCCGACAGGAGGGGGCATGTGTTTTTGATCCTCACATACCCAGCCCAGCGCAATCCGCCGAAACCCCGGCGCTGTCGCTGCTGGTGCCAACATGTTCATGACGGCCAAACAAACAGCAGTAGCGTCAAGCCCTGGAGTACAACTGTAGTGCATGCACCACAGTCACTGTTAAAAAAAGTGCACGCCCATCACGAGGTACCATAGGCCCATATATCTCGTCTAGACTCGTATCAGACGTATGCCGCAGCTCGCTCACGAATGTCAACCGCTGCACTCGAAAAACTATTGTACGAAGAAGATCAATTGGCAATTTGGCAAGGGAGTGCGGACACGCGATCTACTCGCTTTCCCGAGCTCGTCTACCCTCTCTCGACCCCTCCTCCTCCCCAAAAATACTATGACGTCGAAAGCTACAACTTTCATTACAAATCTACCGAAACCAACAACATTGCGCACATCACGTGGCATGCATTGGCTATGTATCCCCTGACCCAGAATCGATCGCCTTGTTATCAAGCTCTGGTTCGTTCCCATACCTTGCTCGAAAAAAAAAACTGATGCAACAGGGAGATGTGCCTCTTCAACGTGGACGGCGGGCAGCGGGCAGTCATCTTCGACAGATTTCAGGGAGTCAAAGAGGCGGTCGTAGGGGAGGGGACGCACTTCATGATCCCCATCGTGCAGAAACCCATCATCATCGACGTGCGTGCCAGGCCGCGCACGATCAACTCTATCACCGGGACGAAGGACTTGCAGATGGCCAACATCTCTCTGAGGTGTGTGTGTACGGTATGGGAGACTGTTGGTACTTAGAGATTCGGATTGTCGACGGAAACGGATTGCCTACATTTCTCTGATGTGTGGGGGTGCGATAAATCGCAATATTGCGGTAGATGACCAACATTTCACTAACGTGTGTGGGGGCCGGGGTGGGTACAGAGATCTGGATTTGGCGCCGCGACGACATGAGCGCTCGAAAACCGTGTTGGCATTGTTGAAGGATATATATTCCATGCGATTCCAAAACCTAATCCTAATCATAATGCTAACGCTGATCCTAATGCTATTGCTAATCCTAACGCTGATCCTAATCGTAGAGGTAATGAGGAGTACCACTTCCTTAGCCCAGCTGTCGCACACCGCTGGGGGTACATATGCTTGCGAGATTAAGAGGTTCGGCGAAAGGGTAAGAGTGAAGCAAAGAATAACAACGTCTCGGTGGCGTCGCGAAGAGACCCAATGTTATTTACTGCATGGTAACTAGTCTTTGAAATCTCTCTCGACCTTGAGCGGTGTAGTCTTTGGCACTTGCTCCGTCTCTCGGCGTATGCTAGCTCTTGGTGTAGCAATAGCGGAGGACAATCGTCCCACTTTTGATCACCTGCGACGTCATCTGATGCACGTTACGAAGCTTCCTTTTTGTTGATACCTGCGTAGCTGCTCGGGAATTGGTGCGTCAAGAGCGGCAGCAGAAAAGGCTGCCGAGGCCACCACCGAGAAGGCCACCGAATGGCGGGAACCAGCGCACCACAGTCACCGGTCGCCTCCGACAGCCGCACGAAGAGGCAGCCGCTCCACCTAGAGCGCCAGCAGCGCGACAGGCAAACAGCCATCGACCTGCCGGAACGACAGGAGCAAGCCGCCATAATTGAACGGAACAGCGCCATCGACAAGCGCGACACGCCGTCGCACGCGGTCGACGGTGTATCTCGCTTGTCGATGGCGCTGTTCCGTTCAATTATGGCGGCTTGCTCCTGTCGTTCCGGCAGGTCGATGGCTGTTTGCCTGTCGCGCTGCTGGCGCTCTAGGTGGAGCGGCTGCCTCTTCGTGCGGCTGTCGGAGGCGACCGGTGACTGTGGTGCGCTGGTTCCCGCAGTTTGGTGGCCTTCTCGGCGGTGGCCTCGGCAGCCTTTTCTGCTGCCGCTCTTGACGCAACAATTCCCGCGGATGCTGCGCGGCGGGGTCGCTCTCCGATGGTAGTGCCCCCCGTATTGGTTTTTCGGATATTGCATCCCACGCCTCGTCCAATTCTCTCCCAACCTCCCCCTTCCCCCCCGTGTCCCCCAAATCCCCTCTCACGCATTAAACCCCCTGTGTCCCGCTGTTGGTTGTTGCTTTTGGGGATGGGGTACTTAGGGTACTGTCTCGGCCGTTGGAGTCGGAGCTGCCCCGCATCTACCAGGAGCTGGGGACTGACTTCGACGACAGAGTCTTGCCGTCGCTGGGAAATGAGGTACGGTGGGCCCGTAGGATATCTTTGAGGAGAAGGGGTTGGTCGGGGTCTTGAAGACGCCGCGCGCGGTTGTGTTTACACTGGCACGTCTTCTGTTTGCTGCCGCTGTTCTTACTCGCTACAAGAGAAGAACGGCCGTCGTCGCGAACATATTACCACCCCTATCCTTCGATCGGCGGTGATGAAGTAGCACGGGCCTCGCGCGAGGACCGCGAGGCCCTCTACTTCACCGCTCATTTTCTGCCGCTGCCGGCCTACCTTTGAGCCACCAATGAAAGAGGCTTGGTGGGCTGCGGGAGAGATAGATCCACTTCAAACGAGAGTTCCGCCGCGTTAGGTCCGCCTCGTCGGAAGGGTCGGAATTCGAGTGGGGGGCGTTGCTGACGTGTGTCGAAAGCGTGGTCTTGTAGTGGCCAGTAGGTCGAATAGCTCCGCCATTTTCCGGTAGGGAAAGAAAAAACGGGTACCCCTCCGAGGGATGAGTAGCCAAGATCAGGTGCACCCGACGGGAATGGGGTCAGGGCCGGGTAGGGGCGGGCGTCGGCCAATCAGATGGCTCCAGGAGGGCGCTGCCGACTGTGGAAAACAAGTGTACCCGATAATGGCCGGGTTTTCCCGATTTTTGCCACTCCTCGGAAAGATCTCTAGGAACCATTGCCTACGCGTTTCACTTGAGCCTTCTTCTTTTTTTTCGTGCAGCGGGGGGAGGGGAGGGAAAGATTACGAATCAAAGTTGCCGTTTAGAGTTGGTCGCAAAATTCGCTGCCGCTGCCCCACGGACGAGACTTTGTTGTTTTCCGCAATGAGTCGAGCTCGGGAGGGGCCTTACAGTGATTCCGTAGGAACTGAAATCACGTGTATGCATGCCACGGCGGTTATTTCGGTGGCTAAGAAACTACTTGAAAGTTACAGTGAAGGAAACATCCCGAACACGCTAGTCCCCCCCCCCCCCCCCCCCCCCCCCCCCCCCCCCCCCCCCCCCCCCCCCCCCCCCNCCCCCCCCCGATGGCAAGGCCGTGAAGGAGATTAGGCGACGGCAGTACGCGATGTGTGTGTGCTCGTCCCGTTTATTCTGGCACCAGTCACACAGCTCGCTGTATGTGCTTGATGCATCAGCCGGGTCGCGTCGGTGTGTGTGTGTGTGTTTTTGTTCTCTTTCTTTATTTGCATCGACCGCGCTAACCGTCTGACCAGTGCGCTACACCGTGCGTGTGTTTGATTTCTCCGTTTTTCGTCAAGGAGATAAAACAATTAAACTAGCGGTAAGCAATGCAATAGCATATTTCGCACTCATGGTCCATGATGCGTGCGACGTTACACATCAAAACAGGTGCTCAAGGCAGTCGTGGCCAAGTACAACGCCGAAGAGCTGCTGAGCAAGCGTGAGTCGGTCAGCACCCGCATCCGGGACGAGCTGACCCACCGCGCCAAGCAGTTCCACCTCATCATGGACGACGTGTCCATCACCCACCTCACCTTCGGCCACGAGTTCACGAAGGCCATCGAGAACAAGCAGGTGTGTTGTTGTTGTATTCACATTAAAAACCTTTCCGGCTCGGCTCAGTACTTGCTAATGTTCGTTCTGGTCCAACTGACGCGGGCGCCTTCCGTGGTCACAAGCTAACTGCCCAAAGAAAGGGACACACCTTTCTAGAAATCAAAGCAAAACAAAAAATGGACCCCAGGAGTCCTCCTAGACGCGATTTGCCAACACAGTATTCGTGATAAACGGCGACCTTGTTATGTTAAGATGTTGGCTATGATGTTCCTTTGCATCTGTCCGACTTTTTTTTCGTTTTCACGATTTTCTTTGTGGACGAAATGTTGTTTTATGTTGCATTTCTTGTCTTTGTACAAGGCGGGAGAGGGGAGTAGAGGCGTAAGTGTAGGTCGCTTCTTGTGCCACTGCCATTCGCTGTGTTTGTTGTCTATCAGAGATTCAAGCTGTTGGCACGGTTCGATATTCAGATCATTTCTTTCTGATTGTCACTCAAGGCTGAAATTCAAGCTGCTACGATTGAACGTGCACAACAAGGCAGTATTGCCCCTTCCGTTCCTTTAGACTAGTTCATGCTGCTTGTTACACAAGATCGACTTTGAAGCTGCTGCTGCTGCTGCTGCTGCTGCTAAATTCAACGCGACGCCACACCGAAACTTACGCTGCACGGTACGATTCAACTTTCACGCGCAACCAACACCGCAGGTGGCGCAACAAGAGGCCGAGCGGCAGGTGTATGTGGTGGCGCTGTCCGACCAGGAGAGGCTGGCGGCCATCATCCGCGCGGAGGGAGAGGCGGAGGCCGCCGAGCTGATCTCGGCCGCCCTGAAGGAGAGCGGCATCGGGCTCATCGAGGTGCGGCGCATCGACACCGCCAAGGAGATCGCCCTCACCCTCGCCACCTCGCGAAACATCACCTACCTGCCAACAGGGGGCGGGTCTAACATGCTGCTGGGTCTCAACACTGCTTGAGAAAGGGCAAGGTAGTGGTGATAGTAGTAGATGCCTCGCATGATGCTAGCCGGAAGGTGGTGCCTGCTGCTGCTGGTGTTTTTTTCCCGCTGTGCAGGGTTGATCAATAAGAGGTGCGCGTTTTTTTGTTTTGCGGAGGAGGGCGGGAATGCTGTGCCCGCGCCATTTTGTGTATTGTGCTGCCGTGCGAGGGAAGATGATCGGCAGCGGATGGGATTCGGAGAGCGTCACTTGTTTTCAGCGGTAGGGGGTAGTTTGGACTAATGAGATAGGGAGAGCAAGTCTCGTGGCTTTGGTCAAGCGACGAACGACCTTGTAATGGGGGGATTTGCCGTGCAGCGTACCAATCACGGTTGGTTACCGTATTAATCGTGTTCTGCGTGATGCCTTAGTGCAGGCCGGGGCGTCCCTTGCTATGATACTTCTTCTAGTGTTCTTGCGGCCCACCTATCCAGATGCACTTGGCGTTGTGACATGCCCCCAGCAAAACACGCTGTGGCAGTAGCTGCAGCAGTCGAAGAACCGGCAACGACATGTTGCGGCGTCACGTGGGAGCTGTTAAGAGGGCCCTCGCAGGCGCACGCGTCCGTTGCCGCATTCAATGTAGAGCAGCTTCGTGAGGTGCTCTCTCGGCATCTGCAAGGTGTTGGAAGCTTGCGGGGAAAAATTGTCGAATCAAGGCACGTGTACACGTGCGAGAATATGGATATCTTTTCTGCCGCCGAGGACCGAAGGTCGTTCCTGCAGGTTCCCGACAAGATGATGTCGCCTCGTTGGTGGATACCATCACTTGTTGGTGGCGCCTCTCCTGCAGGGCCGAGAGGAGTTGGGTCCAGCAACACTGGCACCGCAAAACCGCTGGGCGCTCTCATGGTATCGAGCTGAAGAGGGCTGGTTTCCGCCAACGAGATGAGTGGGTTGCTGGTTGTCGAGAGGGAAGGGTGCGCCAAGAAGCCAATGTTGGTTGCACCAGGTGTTGGACACGACCTCGGACATCCGGCAGCATTCATTTTCTCCTGTTGCTGCTGCAGCTACACCGCCGCCGTGCGCGCGACCGTTTCAAGTTTGAGTCTCGGCTGGTGTTGACCCGTGTCGTGATGTTCACTTGGAGCTGTGTGGTGATTGGCTGGTACCGATTGCCGGGGGCGGCGGCACAGGCTATACACTACATTGTTCTTTCACCAGCTGAAGCACCCTCCGCAACTCATTTCTGGTGTTCAAAGGCGAGAGGTGGAACGAACGGCAGTGCGCGAGGGCAAGCAACGGGCGTAGGGCGTGTGTACGAGGTGATCAGCTCCCCCGTCTTGCTTTCTTCCTCACTTATCGTTCCCCAACGTCCAGTCTCATCACCAACCTAGCGCGAGACGTAACGGCCATCGATTTGTTTACTGGACGTGCGATGAAGGGGGGCGACCCACCTTTTCCCCTAACTGCAGCACGAGGGGAGGCGGGGTGTTTTACCCCCGTGACAAGGTCAATCGCGTCAAAGATCCACATGGGAAGACATGGTACGCCGCAGCAGCAGTGGACGTGCGTATCTCTCCTTTCTTCTTTGCATTGCATCCCCCCCTTATCCTTCGTCAAGAACGGAAAAGGAGCTCATACTCCTCTTTCGATGCTTGCAGTGACCAATCAACGTCGGTCGCACGCTCCCTGTCGTAGATCGCTTGACACAGCTTCTCCCTCCAACCCGAACTCATTTGTTCACTCACCCCCGTCTCCTTCCCATTCTTCGCAACACGTTTCTTCCTGCGAGGACCAATTTCGAACACCTCGAGCGGTTCAATCCATCACCGTTGAACCCCTAGAAAAAAGCTGACTACTTTGAAAATACCGCTTCCATTGTAAAACAATCTCCCGCCCCCAGTGGATCACTAGAAATACAAGTGCGTGCAAAACCCGAAAGCAGCTGAATTCTCGCCAGCCATTCCATCGGTAACAACAAAAAAAATCAAGGAGGTCCATATCCCAAGGACTGCCAGGCCCTTCATTGTTGGGGAGGTCGTATGCCCTCTGAGTAACCCTTGCATGTACGGCATCCCAGGGATGCCGTACTACTCTACCACTGCTGCTGTCTAACAAAGACACACAAAACACACAACACAGCAGGCGTATCCCACGCCACGCCTACACCATGCTACCGCACCACCGTCAAGTCATACCACGACATAGGGCAACGTCTCAAGAGTCTTGAATAGACGATGCCACGCACCTAATGACTAGCACAGATCTCTTCCGAAAACAGACACAAAAACAAATACTTCCAAGGTGAACAGGCATGTGCTACGAGTCTGAATCTCAAGATTTCGGGGCACGGTTTCCACATCTACGTTTTGATTGTTGCTTTGAAAGCAGGGTCGCCGCCCCTGCGAACAATTTTCGACTCGACGCGAAGAAAAAAAGAACAAGCTCAAAACAAGAGCTATTTCTCGTGGTGATGGTTGAAGAAAACAGTCAACGACCGCGGTAAAAAATAGTGTATTCCCGAAAGCCGAAGGTATAGAGTTAGCACTTGCGCTAAATAAACAAAGCTCTGGGTGCCTTGTGCCACTCGTACACATCTCGTTCGTGCTGAAAATGAGCTCGCACTTTTTCCTCCCTTGTATTTCAACCCCCCCCCAATCCCCGAGGCAAAAAGCACCCGCCGACATGCATGCACACACGCTAGAACGGATCTTGGCGATTTCTCCGTCCCGCTCTCGCTAGGATTCCAACGGGTTACCCGGAAAACAGGGCCGAAGCTCTCAAAAACATGGCACGCACAATCCAAGCCCAGGGCAAACACGCCACCACGCCCTTTTGCATCTCTAGACTAGACCAGTAAATATATTTTCACAGACATAGGAGTACAGATAGCGCCCGCACTTGAGAACTCAGCAGTTGAGAAACTGAGACTCGCAAAAAATCAGAAAGCTGAGATCTTGAGCACCACTTGTGAGCTCGGTTAAGAACCCCACACTAAACCTATGTAGCGGCCATTTGTAGCCCACAAGAGGATCATCATCAAAATAAGCACCCCAGCCTCGGCCGAAACTAGAGGTTCTCAAGTGCGGGCGCCATCTGTAGTACGAGAGCAGCGCCGCAAGCTGCTACAGCAGTAGCCACTACCCTAGCCTGCCTTCCTGCCCTCCTGTCCTCGAGGCGGAGTAAGAGCGGCCCGGCCACGACGCGCTTGTCACCAGGGACGCCCCCCCCCCCCAAAAAAAAGCGCTTCTTGAAAGAAACAAAGAGAGGCCCTTCACACACGCTCACCTTCCTCCACCCAACTCAAGCGTTGTGGAGCACATCTGCATGCCACTAAGGCTCCGGGGGGGCGGGGGGCGGGCGGGGGGGTAGCACTACTTCGCAGACCCCCCCCCCCAAAGAATTCGATAACACGATGATGACACCCTTCCTTCTGCCTCTACCAAGAGGCGTCNGGGGGGGGGGGGGGGGGGGGGGGGGGGGGGGGGGGGGGGGGGGGGGGGGGGGGGGGTAGCACTACTTCGCAGACCCCCCCCCCCAAAGAATTCGATAACACGATGATGACACCCTTCCTTCTGCCTCTACCAAGAGGCGTCTTCGGTTCGAAGGACGGCACCATGTAGGATAGCATACGAGCCCGAGTAGGCCCACTGCCCACTTGCACCCGCCGCGAAAAGCCCCTAACCCTCTCGGCCTTGGCTCTGCTAGGAGCCTATTCTTGCATGGCCGCTCGGCGGCGGCGGGAGAGCGCCATCTGTTAGGGTTGGGACAGATGGACGCCGATTTGCGGAACGAGCGCGTGTGCGAGAAGGAGGGGTCAGGGGGTCGATTCAGGCAAAAAATGAGGTGGGCGGGAGGGGGGTGGGCCGCCATGGCGTTCAGCACATCGCTTCGAGACTTCTAAACCACAAGCAGCGCAACCACACGGAAGCCCGACAAAGACGGATAACGAACACCAAGCACGGAAACGATACCCATCACTCGACGATTCAAATACCCTCCCGTCCCTCGGCGGGAAAAGCGCACCAGTGCTTCGTCCTCCGAGTCATCATCATCGTCTCCACCCTCCTCCTCCCGCTCGTTCTCGCTATCGTCCTTGCGCCCTTTTCCCCTCGCGTTCCCCCGCCCCGAGGCCGTAGCCGCGGCGGCCGCCGGCACCGCACCCCTTACCATGGGAGGTCTCCTCCCCCCAGCACAACCGGTACCAGCACCAGCATCAGCACCAGCACCAGCGGTAGCAGTAAGGGAGGGGGGCTTCTTCTTCGCGGCTACCGGCTTCGCCTGCTGCTGCTGCTGCTGCTGCTGCTGCTGCGGTTTCCTGGCTGCCAGAGGGGCCGCCTTCTTGCGCCCGCCGCCGCCGCCGCCGGCAGCGGTCTTGCTTTTCACCTCAGTGTCTCGGACACGATCAGGGGTGGCCGACGTCGACACCCGGGGAGACCGGCGAGACGGGGGTGTGGAACCGGCAGCAGCAGCCCCGCTGGCACCCCGTTTCTGCTTCTTGGCTGGAGAAGGCTTGTCCCCTTCCTCCTCGTCCGCGTCGTCGCCCGAACCCGCTCCTGCTTCACCACTTTTCTCTGCCGTCTCCGCCGCCACCGCACCTCTTCCTTTCGGTCCCCGCCCGGTACTACTGCTACTACCACCACCACCGGTAGCAGCGGCAGCAGCAGATCGCCCTGCCCTCTTGCGACCAGCCGTCGTCTTCTCCGTCGCCGCGATCCTGTCCCTGGCGATACGCGCGGCCGCCCTACCCTCCCTCCTCTCTCCCACAGGCGGCGTTGCCCCCGCCCCCGCCCCCGCAGCCGCAGCCGCAGCCGCAGCCGCAGCCGCAGCCGGAGACGACCTCGGAGGAGATGGCAACGGTGATGACACCTGTCCCCGGCCCCTACCGCGGCCGCTGCCTGTCCGAGGGGGGGAGGCTTGCTGGGATGATTCGGGGGAGGGGGCCGCGTTGGCAATGGGTGACAGAGACGGGGAAATCGGCCCTCTTCCTCCTCCTCCCCCTTGTTCTGCGATGCCGTCGGAGAAGGGCGATTCTGGTGTCGGCGGCGAGGCCGACCGCCGGCGAGCGAGGCGCCGCGCGCGAGACGCCGCCGCCGAGCTGCCTCCTGAACCATCCCCGGCCTCACCCTCCGATGAACGGCGGCGCCTGCTGCTACCACCGCCGCCCCCGCCGCCGCCGCCGCCGCCGCCGCCGCCGCCGCCGCCGCCGTCATCATCGCCAACAGAGGATCTGTCAGCGGAGCCAGTGGAGGAAGTCCGACGACGGACCCTCCTGGAGGGTGCGGAGGAAGACAACGACGATAACGGCCAAGAAGCGGCACCGCCGCGGCCACTGCCGCCGCCGCTGCTGCTGCTGGTGGGGGTTGCCGCCGCCGCCCCAGCGGCACTCGAGCGGCTGCGGCGGCGGTGGCGCGCCCCAGGCGGCGCCGCCGGGCTACTAAAGCCCGCGGCCTCTCGAGGAGGAGGGGACGAGGAGGAGGAGGGGGTCTCATCCTCGCGGCGGCGGCGCTGGAAGAGCGGGGCCGGCAGGAATATGTTACCCGGGTACGGCTGTAAGTCGCTCTGGGTCTTGATCTTACTCAACAGTAGCTGCGCTCGCGGGCGGGGGGGGGGGGGGGGGG